CGACACGTGTCTCTATGAGGTTTCCTACGGCGACGGATCTTACACCGTCGGCGAGTTTGTCACGGAGACCATCACGCTTGGCTCCACTCCGATTAACAACATAGCCATTGGCTGCGGCCATAACAATGAAGGTCTTTTCATCGGCGCCGCTGGCTTACTTGGTCTCGGCGGCGGCTCGCTTTCCTTTCCTTCTCAGCTCAATGCGAGTTCCTTTTCTTATTGCCTTGTGGACCGTGACTCTGACTCGGCCTCGACTCTCGAGTTCAACACCCCTCTCCCTCCCAACGCCGTCACAGCTCCGTTACTCCGCAACGACCAGCTAGACACATTTTTATACCTCGGCCTCACCGGAATCAGCGTAGGCGGCAATTTGCTTTCGATTCCGGAGTCTACATTCAAAATCGCCAATTCAGGGGACGGCGGCATTATCGTGGACTCGGGGACCGCCATCACTCGGCTGCAAACCGACGCGTACAACTTGCTTCGTGATGCTTTTGTTCAAGAGACAAAGGACCTGCCAAAGGGTGACAACGTGGCGTTATTCGACACGTGTTATGATTTATCTTCGAGGACCAGCGTGGAGGTTCCGACGGTATCCTTTCACTTTCCCGAAGGGAAAGTGTTACCGTTACCGGCGAAGAATTACCTAATCCCGGTGGACTCCAACGGGACATTTTGTTTCGCGTTTGCCCCGACGCCCTCGTCGTTATCAATAGTCGGGAACGTACAGCAGCAGGGGACACGTGTCGGTTTCGACCTCGGTAAAAATCTCATCGGCTTCGTGCCCGAGAAATGCTGAAGTGGGAGCAAATTACGGACACGACACGTCAAAATTGTATGAATTTACGTTTCTTACCCTTTAGAGTTAACGGAAAGGTTAAGAAAACCCTTTCCTCAGTAAAACGTCACAGTTTAAGGTGATGGTATGGGACCACCCTAATAGTGGCAATGACATTATCTTTTGGCGACTTGTATAGTACTAGTGTTAAATTTAATTGAATGTCCTTTAAATATTGTAGCATAAAAAGTTGTCTTGTCCCGTCCCGAGCACCCAATTACCGTCGCGTTGTACTAGTTGCTATTCTTTGGACCATAACCTATATTAGATTCTTAGACCTTTTATGGTAAAATTTTACCAAAATAAAAAAGACTGTTTATGGTAAACTACTAAACGTTATTTATTTTAATACTTATACCGGCCATGAGGAAAGTGATTTGCTTTCTATTTTTTATATTTTATATTTTTAATTTATTTTTAATAAATTTAGTTTCATTTTTAAATATAAATTTTAAATAAAATTTAAATATATTATATAAATGATAATAAA